AAACCTAATGAACTAAAACAAGAAAAATAAAAACCGTACCAAATCTACCGGACCTAATGAATTAAAATATAAAAAATACAAATCATACCAAATTGATCGTACCGAATATACCAGGCCTAATGACCTAAAATATAAAGCATATGAATCGTACTAAATTGATCGTACTGAATATATGGGACCTAAACAATATAACGTACCTAATTGAAATCACATAATCAAAATTTTGGAAACTTCAGACGTAAACTAGTACCTAATTTTTAACAAAAACTAACAACGTCCTAACAATGAGAATTTGTTCCCCACATAGGCCTTCATAACACATGGTATGCGGAGTAATCATGTTTCTGCAACAAATGGTTTAAATTAGTGCATTCTCTCCACACAATATCATTATGAGAGCTTTCAAAAGTATGGCAATGGAACTGGTTATAAAATATAGACAAAAAAGATGATATCTTGTAGAAAATGAAGATGGATGTTATGTTTTATGGGTGATAGTGAATTACGGGTTACATTTTTCAAAGGTGGTTATGTTGGAATGAACGTGCATATGAAAGATGTTGTAAATAATATGTGTATGTTTTATAAGTGTCATTTTTTTGATTATAAAGCCCATATTTTACATAGTTGTAATAGTAAAAAATCCGATCCTTATTCTAAAACAATATTGTATAATATACTGTTCAATATATATAGCATGTTCATGCACACAAATTGATATGCCCAAATTTTAAATATGCAAGTTATGTTATAACATGCTACATTGTTATGTTGAATTGTGTGAGTCAAAGAAAAAAAAAATAGAAACACGAACTAGGGTTTACAAACCTAAATCACAAAAAACGAAGAAGAGAAAATCGCAGTTGAGCCACGGCCTGAAGCTGCCCGTGCCACCTGCGGAACTAAATGCTGCAAAACCGGCACCTTGCACCCACTTGCTGACGGCAACAGTTTGGGCTTCTCCCTGCCAGGGCTGCTGGTTGACACCTCACTCGGGTCCACCCAGCTTTGCTGGGCTCCTGCTGCTGCTTGGCTGCCTTCATCTCGGCTCAAGCTCCAAACTGATAACATTCGAGATTATACAAAATTATACACAAAGGATCATTTTTTGGCTTTCTCTTTAGTCCTATGTCTCTTATACATAAAGTGAGTTACAAACTCACTCTCAATGTTACATGTTTGGGGTTTGTCCACGCCCCCTTGTGTGAATAAACTGCTTTTCAAAATCTTAGTGAAGATTTGGATTTGCTAGTCATGTTTGTTTTTTTGTGAAATAAATACCAATTGAAGCGGACGGTTTCTTCAACAACAAATGAGATGGGTCCAACTACTCATATATAATGAAATTGAGCATGTTTCCCATCTCTCCTCGAGAAAAAAAGGTGGGCTATGCAAAATTGTGCTCAATTTCATATGCGCCAATTCCGCAAGATCTCTTCTTAGTTGGGGGAAGAATCCGCATGAATCGGATTTTTGAAACATATCAAGAAAGAATTGGTTAGACAATGTGATCATATCTTCTTAGGGCTTTTTGGATGTATAATGCAATTTCAATAGTAATGCAGTAATGTTTGGGTTAGAATCAGCGGATCAAGGAGTGGTAACTCAATCACGGGGGAAACTTAGGGCCTCCTTTTTTCACTGCAAAGCACAGCATGGGTGTTCCATTTCTCGGGCCAAGCCAAATTTCGGATGTTCTGCTTCGAGCCTGGAACAAACTATTGGGGTCCCTGCTAACCCCAATTTTGTTTGGCCCGCAACCATTCAACCCAATAGCCCTAACATCTATGAAAATGAATAATCTAAAAAGAATTAGATCATTGTTCTCTGATAAAGTAAGAATGTTGTTTGTTCCATTTATTGAGAATTCAAATCAAATACAATCTTACTTGAATCATAACTCAAATTGCAACCAAAATCTGCTTCTGCTATGAGTCAAAGAAAAGAATTATGGAAAGCCACCGCAAAGTATACAGAGAGAAGAGAGGTAGGGATGTAGTGTGAAAGGATGGATTAATTTGGAGTTTGACTTCCCAGTGGTTTTTCAATTTGTACTTTAGCAAAGAAAGCAGCTAGAATGATTATTGAAAATTAACTTCTAAATAGCTTGTTGCTAATGTGGAATGGGAGTTTTTGTTTAATGAAATGGACTTTTTGCATATTATAGGGCTGTTTGTGAAAGCCTGAAAAATTGATAAACAACCAATCGAGTTAGGTAATTTTCGTTATATATGGTTCGTTTTTCTATGGCCACAAGTTTTAGTTCCATTATGATACATGGCATGCCAGTTATGTTCTCATTTATCACACCAAGTATGAATGCACTAATGTAGTTCTTGTATGTTCTATTTCCAAAGTATTTTCCATCTACTAAAGGTAATGGTCTCACTTAACTCTTTTATTGCAGACAGTATTTTCAATAACAGAAACTTTTATCAATTTTAGAAATGAAATAATAACTGCCAATATTTTCTTGGCTTGGAGATAGTTAAAGATAAGAAAAAAGAAGGACATTAAATAAATCTCTTAACCTACACGAGCCTTTTCTTCAAGTTCTTACTCTTGGCAGAACTTCAGTCTTTCACTATTTATATTTTCAAAAGATTTACAAGTAGTTTGCTCAAAAGAATTGATGCAAATTTAAGTTTGGGCCCACCGTCACTTGATTATTCCTTTCAAGACGTAAAAAAAAAAAAAAAAAAAAAAAACTTATCTTTTGACTAAAATGGGTATTTGACGTCACATTAAAATTGCTCAAGAAACTGAACCGATATTAAAACACCCCACCTCCGGAGGGGAGGAGAAATTCAAATTACTTCTTTTTTTATTCAAAAGAAGCTCAAAAACTTTGGCCCAACCAACTTGAAAAGTGCTGATCGTGGCTGCCCCATGCAAGTTACAAAAATTTGACCAGACTTTCATAATATTTGAAGAGTATTACAAAAATATTAATATTTTTTAATTTTAATTTCCAATTGGAACGTCCCTATTACTTTTCCTCAAAACGAAAAGCAAAAACCAAAAAACAAACCACCATATGAACAAGTTCTAATTTAGTTGTAGGCATCAGGGGTTGGCCATTATGAAAGCGATCAAAGAGTTCTAAGGAAATATGAAGAAAATTGTTTTTCTACAATATTCAGGTTTTGACTTGGAGTGAAGTGGAATGCTGTAGGTGCTATATATAGACCACAACAATTGAGAGTCTGACCTGATGTGAACAGCAATGCCTCTAGATCATCAACCAATTTATGCAAGTTGGTACTGTACAATTCTATTGTTGTCCCTGCTGCCTCACGACCAGTATATGCACTTCCAGAAGTTCAATTTAGGAATGACTTGACCTGCAATTCAACATTGGCTGCAATGCGTCGACTTTTAATTGGCCGTCATTTGGCTTTTCACATCTCCAAACTGGAATATTCAATTGTAACAAATATTATCCAAATACAGAGTCCTATTCTATTATCTTCTTCAGATGCCCTTTTATGTTTAGGGATGGTATTGGGACGATTACCGTATCAAAATTCATTTATTAATTATCATACCAAATTTTTAGTATGACAAAATCTATTACCATTACCTTGCTAAACTTTTGGTATATTGAATTTCGGCATGTCAAATAGTTTAGTTGACATAGTATGGTAATGGTAATTACCAATTTGTTTTGGGCCGTTCTTTTGGGCCAAAATTTGAATTTTTTTCCAACCTAATTCAAGGCCAAAACATGTTTTGGCCACTCCCTTTGGGTTTCTAGAACTTTTTTATTTAATTTTGAGAATTTTATAGAGATTCATTAAATAGATGGAAGAATTGCTGAAAGAACCCAATATCCCTAAAAAAATAGTACAATGATTCCTAAATTCCATCTCTACATTCTTTAAAATTGTATAAAATTAACTTGATAGATGAGGCCAGGGAGAAAGACATCTCAATTTGATGAAGGAGGAGATGAGATGGACTTTGGAGAGAGAGTCGCGGAACTGGAGCAACAGAGATGAAGTCGGTGGCTAGATGAGTGAAAAGATGAAGAGTCGCAGCGCAAGAAAGCTTAGATTTTTTTTATTGGGAAAGTAGAGGTTAGATGGTGAGATGATTGGATAAATGATTAGGAAAAAAATATAAAGTGCACATATAATGATAATAATACCGAATTATATATAAATGAATAAATAAATGATATAATTATTATAATATTAATAGTAGTGGTACGGTATGGTATACCATTGATATTAGTTTTGAATATCATTACCGTACCAAAATGTATGGTACAGTACAAATACCGTACCATACCAATGATACAATTTTTTTTGCACAACTTTGGTATGATACGGTTAATATGGTAATTTAGTAAAAAATTCCATCCTTATGTCTGCAGCCCGTGACTATGCTCGTTGTGAATGTCCAAAAAGTATTAATAGAGAATATGATTATACTCCAATAATATGTCAACAAAAATTGAATTATTGAAAAGTCCAGTAAATATAACAGCGAAAGACACAAAGTGTTAAGTTGGGAGGGAATATGACCTCCAAAACATTAATTACTTAGTATTATGGTGCAATGATATTCTTATTTACTTGTACATAAGAGATATTAGGTTCGAACATTTGGATGCAAGTTCAACACCAATTTATTTTGAGAGATTATATTTACACATCCCAAATTACTTCTCCCACATCCATTTAATTTTTTAATATTTTCTACACACCACTAACATTTAATAGAAAAAATATATCTTTAAAAAAATGATGTGTGTGATCTCTAAAGCACTAATTGGTAAGCACAAGAAAAAATTGAGGTTAGTCCACCTCGTGGAGTAATTGGCCATTTCTTATTCAATTTCCAGATTGTCCTTTCCTTGATTACATTACAAAATTTCCTTGTACAAAAGTAATGGTTCCCACGTCCATGATGAATAAAACCCATTAAACAATTAGGAGCTTGCGTAAACCTTTTGATCCACTGCCTCAGCCTATAAATACCAATACATCCTCCTCACTTCTTCACAACTCAAAATCTCCCAATACATCATCTTTTTATCTAAGTCTTCCTCTTCGTCGATTATTTTCCCACTTCACAAACACATCTTAGAATCATGGGTGTTTTCACATACGAATCCGAGTTCACCTCCGTCATCCCCCCCGCTAGGTTGTACAATGCCTTTGTTCTTGATGCTGACAACCTTATCCCCAAGATTGCACCTCAGGCAGTGAAGAGCACTGAGATCCTTGAAGGAGATGGTGGAGTTGGAACCATTAAGAAGATCAACTTCGGTGAAGGTAGCACATACAACTATGTCAAGCACAGAATCGATGGAGTTGACAAGGACAACTTTGTGTACAAGTACAGTGTGATTGAGGGAGATGCTATCTCCGAAACAATTGAGAAAATCTGTTACGAGACTAAGTTGGTGGCTTCCGGCAGCGGTTGCATCATCAAGAGCACCAGCCACTATCACACCAAGGGAGATGTTGAGATCAAGGAAGAGCATGTTAAGGCTGGCAAAGAGAAGGCCTCCCACCTCTTCAAGCTGATTGAGAACTACCTCTTGGAGCACCAGGATGCCTACAACTAAACATTGTCTGGTGCTGCATTCATGTGTTATTCAGTCTCGTGTCATCTTTGCCGTCAAATATTAGTGTGGTTTTAATCCGTTTTATATATTTTCTTCCCTTCCAAAACAGTGTTTGGCTAGTACGTAATTGAAGGTTTTGATTGAAGAGTGAATGTTGTATTTCCTTTCATTTGCAATAAACTCAAAATTAATGGACCTGATTATTCCTGCAAGTCTTTCTTAATGCAAGTTTGTACTTGCTAATGTTATGTTCCACTTTCCTAACTACTTTAGTTTACTGAACACATGAGAAGCGACATTTCAATTACCCGCAAATCATAATAATTGAATAACATTTGAATCTCTACCACATATAGCGTAAAGTGATGAAAGGAAATCTCTGATTTCGTTTTCCTTGTAAACCATTTGGTAATTCATACCATAAATAACCCCATGAGTTAACACACCCATGATGACGATTTTAAGAGCTTGTCTTTCCTCATCCTTATGTGGCATGACTCACCTCCATCCGCGGTTCTTGCTTCTTGCATTCGAATTTTCTTAGCTTATTTGATTTCTGATTTTTAAATTAGTGTGCCTCACGCCATATATGTTAGGATCGTACAAGTTCATCAAACCAATTCGCTAATTTTATCAAATATGGATCGTACAAGTTCAACTCACAATTCATCAAATATATGCACATGACTTACACGAGTCTATAGACCATTTCCCTCTAATTCAATAAAGTCACTATGAAGTATAAAATGAACCTTTCATGTGCGAAGTTTACCGGACAACAAAGGAAGGTCCGTAGTCCTAAAAAGACTCGCAATAAGGAATCAACAGTTGGCTACTACTGCAAAAGCTCATTGTAAAGGCATTGTAGGCAGAAGGGAAGCAAGGAGATTTTGACTGAATAATTAGTTCAACAATTTGGTGGGTGAGAATATGAAGGTAAAGTCTCGTATCGGTGATTGGACCAAATTTTGTTGTGGTTACAAGAAGTTGAGCTATTTTTTATATTGTCAATTAGTTTTATGGTAAAATCTAAACTTTCTTAATGATATCAGAGCAAGTTGTTTCACATGTAAAGCCTAACGGCCAAACATGTGCCCCATGCTTAATTTGTATTGCCCATGTGTTAGACTTTAAAATTCGCCAGATGCGAAGAAGTGTGCTATAATAGTAGGACAAAATCTTATAACCGTAAAAAACCAAACCTTACAAGGGCTTAGAATAAGTTTATTTTATTTTATTTTTATTTTTAAGTAACGATGGCATTCATTGATAGGAGCCCAAACAGCTCAGAGGTAGTACATCAAAGATTACAAGCAGATAGAAAGACCATTTACAAGCAATCCTGGACCAGAAGATCCAAAATAAAGTTTGGTGGGGTAATAACCATTCGCAATGGGTTCCAATTGACAAGCTAAACTGAGCAAGTTGATGGGCAACACCGTTGGCTTGGTGACGAATATGGGAACACAAATATTTAGTGATTGTGGGAAGAAAAGCCTTTGTATCTTCCACTAAATGCCTGATTGATGAACAGTTAGGAAATCATTTGCTAGTGCTCTCAGAATCTGAAGAGAATCACCTTCGATTACTAGATTTTTAAAACCCCTTGTCACCGCCCAAACCACACACTCCCTAGCTGCCAAGGCTTCCGCGCGCATGGAGAGGGGATGACACATTTGGAAAATTCAGGCAAGCAGCCGCCACGAAAAATCCCAGTGTCGTCTCTTACAATGATACTCACACCCCCCAAAAGGTTTCCCCACGCCAAGCACCATCAAAATTGAGTTTCAAACGCCTTGAGGGTGGCGTTGTCCATTTGGGAGGACCAGGATTTTGGCCAGGGGCCTGAGCAAGGGGGTGTTTTCCGACACAAATTGTTGCCACCATGAGAGGACCTTAGTCACCATTAAATCTGGAGAATCACAGCGGTCATTCCAAAGCTTGTAGTTGCGGGAGTTCCAAATATCCCAACAAATCATCATGAAGACTTCCAACGTATTTAAGGGGGTAGGTTAGAAAGAAGGTCCAACACCCAAGCTTTGAAGGACGGTGAATCCTGGAGGTTGGTAAGGGCCCAAGAGGGGAGAACAACCAAGCACATCGAGCATAGTGACAATCCTTAATAAGGTGGGACACTTACTCCACAAAGGAGTTGCATAGTACGCACAATAGATCCGTCGTAATATGTTTCAAGCCCAAATTTCTCCTTGTGGGGAGAGATTCAGTGCACAAACGCCAAAAGGAGACACGCACCTTTGGGGTAACATTTGCGTGCCAAACTTCGGACCACAATTCGGAAAAAGGATATGGGGATGAAGAAGATGAACCATGTTGAGCACTCAGCCGAACCCATTCCCTCGTGACGTGGTACGCCGTTTTCACCGAAAAAATGGCCTTTTTCTCATGGTGCCAAATGAACTGATCAGCCACATCACGTAGACTCAGAGGAATAGAGCGAATAAGGTCAACCTCCACCGGGGAAAGGAAAGAATTGAGAAGATCCACCCTCCATGTTTTGGACACGGGCTCAATCCAATCTGCTACAAATTTCAGACTACAATTAGCCGGCCTTGGGGAGAAAATCCGAAACATGGATGATGGGAGGGAAATTCAGGGGTCTTCCCATAATTTTACCGATTTTTCATTCCCAATTAGCCATCGCAAACCCCGAGATTACACATCTCTCGCATTGCAAATGCTCATCCAGCAGAAGGATGAGTTAGCTACTCCTCGTATCAACTTCCTTCACAGTCAACGTCTTAGTAAACTAATTTGTACTGGTAAATGCATAACGGTGGAAATGTCGAAGGCTATCTGTCCTTTTTTCTTTTACTTATGTATATTTTTAAAAATTACTTGTTTTCTCATTTTCTATTAATTATTGCTTTCTGTAATTTTTCTTGATTTTATTAATTGTCAATTCACGTAAATTCAAATACTCGCACACCTTTTACTTGATTAAAGACTAATCGCAGAGTCTAGCTACTCCAAAGGCTAAATATCATCGAATAATTTACATATAAGTAGTATATGTATTATTTATTTAGATTAAAATTAAATACAGTATTGCTCTTTAATCATATCCGAACTGCAAGTCAGAGAATTGCTTTGGTATGATGAAAATTTGAAAACCACACACTTGAATAAACAGAGAAAACAAGACACAAGTTTGTTGCCAAATAGATGGTTTTAGTTGTAGGCATCAGGATTGGCCAGAAGGTGGCTCTCAATAAGCTTGAATAGACCAAGGGCCTTGTCTTTGCCAGCCTTAACATGTTCTTCTTTGATCTCAACATCTCCCTTAGTGTGGTAATGGCTAATGTTCTTGATACTAGAACCAGTGCCAGATGCCACCAACTTAATCTCATAAGAGATTTTCTCAAGTTTGTCAGAAATGACATCTCCTTCAATCAAACTGTAGCTATACACAAAGTTATCTTTGTCAATTCCCTCAACCTTGTGCTTTATATAGTTGTATTCACTCCCTGTCAAATGGAAAAATAAGTTAGAAATTAAGATACTAGCTAGTGTTTTTGATATATATATTAAATAGATAAAATTAACAAGTCAATGGAGAAGATGATGAAAATTAAACAAACCTTCACCAAAACTAACTTTCTTGATGGTTCCAACACCGCCATCCCCCTCAAGAATTTCAACAGTTTTGATTGCTTGTGGAGCAATCTTCGGGATAAGGTTGTCAATATCAAGAAAAAGGGCATTGAACAACCTAGCAGGGGGGATGACTGAGGTGTATTCGGTTTCGTATGTGAAAACACCCATGATGATGACTTTTAAGAGCTTAGAAAATGAGCAAGGAAATTAAGAATGAAAGAAGGAAGCAAAGAGGATGATTGATGTTGATGTGAGAAAATTTTATCACCAGAGGGTAGTATTTATAGATTTGGGATGGAGGGTACGTGTACAGTAACCCCCTATATGTAAAGGATTTCGGACAAAATTTGAAGTTTACAATGGAGGTTTTCCATGTGAAATGAAAATGAAATATAATTTTCAATTGCATGCATAAAATATGTTATTTAGTTTTACAGTCGAGTAATATTCTTCTTCACTTATAAGTGAGAGGTTTTAGGTTCAATTTTCGCCAAAAGCAAATTTCGACCACATTATTGCTAAGCCTACCTCATTCCCTTAGTGTAGATAATATGGTTTGTTAAAAAAAAAGTTAATTACATGCATAAAATATAAAACAAAAAATGCATAAATGTATTAAGTCAAAGAAAGCCACAAATATAATTTATAGAATCAATGCATAAATGCATAATTGTCCAAAATCAAACTCAATATTATCGTCATTTCCAACAGGTAGAATAATAGTGAATACACTTGGATTTTCTTGATGATCATACAATCGATATCAACTATATATTAACTAACAACACCAATTAATTCATGGTTAATCATACAAGAAAAGGAAGAAGATGCAAGTATTTAACTTCGACATAAAAGACAACCTTAAATGTCGGTGGGCTGTTTGATCATGACATGTTTACAAATCATAATTTGGATAATACAATAATAAGCGGAGAGAAAGGCAGTACAAGTAGGGAGAAAGACTACACACAAATCTCATGATCAGTTGGTATAATATACGGTGCAGCATACAAAAACGCCGTCTTGAAAGAATAAGATTTATGTCCTCGTAATTCTAAGGGTATTTCTGTAAAAAGAAAATAAACATTTTATTTTTTGATCAATTTTCAATGGCACGAATTCCCTGATTTAGTAGATTAAGAGGAAGGGATCCGGAGATAATCTTTTTCCTTTATATTTTAGATACTAACAGAAAAAAAAAACTAAATAAGAAAAAAAAATGTGTTCCTTAGTATTACGGTATAATGATATTCTTCTTTATTTGTAAGTGAGATGTATTAAGTTCGATTATCACCAAAAGCAAACTTGAACCACATTATTCATATGGTTAACTCATTGTGGGGTTTAGTTCACTTCTCAACCCTGTGTAGATAATATGTTTGTTCAAAAAAGAAGAACAAAGAAAAACAAAAAAGCTGAAGCCACATTGTGCGACACAAAAAGTGCCAGAAAAAAATGAATCCTCAGCGTGAGAAAAGAGAACGAAAACGCACGATGTGATCGTTCCATAGAGAAAAAAAATGATCGTGCTGCTCCACTGGAGTCTGGGACCTTGCGTATAACTGTATTCTTCTTCCTCCTTATGTAGTGTTGACCC